CAGACTATAGCCTTTTCAGATTGGTTTCTTTCACTTAGAAATATGTATTTAAGATTCTTCACTGTATTTTTATAGCTACATAGCTCATTTCTTTTAAGCAATTGAATAATATTCTACTGTATAAATGAAACCCAGCTTATTTGCCATCTACCTACTAAAGAACATCTTAGTTGCTTCCAAGTTCTGGCAATTATGATCAAAGCATTATAAATGTTTTTGTTCAGGCTTTTGTGTAGACATAAGTTTTCAAATCATTTGAATAAATACCAAGGGGCACAACTGCTAGGTTGCATGTTAACAGTATGCTTAGTTTTTAAAGAAACTTCCAAACTGTCTCTCAGTCTGACTGTACAATTGTGCACTTCCTTCAGCAATGAATGAGAGTTCCAGTTGCTCCACATTCTTGTCAGCATTTAATGTTATCAGTATTTTGGATTTTAGTCATTCTAATTGGCATTTAGTGATATCTCATTGTCATTTCAATTTGTAATTTGCCAATGACACATTTTGTTGAGAACACTCATATATTTACAACTTTAAATGCCACCATTACCACTACTCACTAAACTTAAATAAACATTTCCTATGCTAAGCACTATGTGAATCACTTTTCATGTTATTTTTTTAATAACCCTGTGAGTCAAATGTTATCAATATAATGCATCTTGTAGAAAAGAACAGAAGTCTAATGAAGTTAAGAATGGTGCAAATAAATGTTGAATCTTGACCCTAAGGTCTTGACTTCAAGTCTCATCTCTTAAGTACTAAATCCTTTTTACTTCTAAGTGTCATCCCTGAATCTCCTACTTTCAAAACCAGTCAGGATGTTGGTAAAAATTTAAATTTCTAGATTCGTATGCTCTGTTTTGTATCATTTAACGACAGACATACATTCTAAAATTAATTATGTCATCAGGCAATTTTACCTTCCATTAACATCGTAGTGTTCTTACATAAACCTAGAAAGTATAGCCTACTACATGCCTAGATTGTGTGGTATAATCTTTTACTAGGCCTCAAACCTGTGCAACATGTGACTGTAAATAGTATTAACAACTGTACTATGACATTAACTATTCATGTACCTAAACCTATGTAAACCAAAAAGATACAAAGTATGATAAACTAAAAAACATGTGAACAGACTAGAAGTTACGCTGGACAAGTTCATGTGTGAGTGGTAGGTGAATGTGAACAATTAGGAAATTATGGTATACTATGGCAGACCTTTATAAAAGTGTGACCATTTAGGCTATATTACATTTATTAAAACTTTCTTTCTTCAATACTAAATTAGCCGGGACCAGCAGTTAGCGTAATGGGTATGTCACTGGACTCCCACGTAGTCGACCGCAGTTCGTGTCCCGGACCCGGTGGCTTAAAACTCACGCCGGGCGCGTGTGCATGCGTGCCCAAGATCCCAAGAGGAGAATGGGGGAGAAGGGATTGCGGCGTGGCCATCCCCCCTGGGGGGTGATTTCTTGCTTTCTGTCTCTCTGTCTCTCTCTGTCTGTCTGGCGAGCGCATGCGCCCTATGACAAAAACCTCTCCAAAAAAAAAAATACTAAATTAGCCTTAATTTACCATTTACTGTTTTACTTTATAAACATTACAGTTTATTTTAAACTCTTTTATAATAATCTTTAGCTGAAAACACACATTGTATAGCTGTACAAATATGTTTTATTTCTTCATATCTTTATTCTGTATTTTTCTATTTTAAAAATATATGTTTTAAACCTTTTTGTTAAAACATAAGACACAAACTCACATATTAGTCTAAGCCTACACAGAATCAGGATAATCAATATCACTGTCTTCTGCCTCCACAACTTGTCCCACTGAAAGGGCCATGATGAATAAAACAAGAGGAGACTAAATGGAGCACAAGAGAAAATTATGCAAACAGAAGTTGTGGTAAACATAAAATATATGTTGAACCCAGCATACTATGTTACAGAAAACTTTACTTTTTAAATAAGTAAAAGGAGTTCACTCAAAACAATGATGCAAAGTATAGTAAAGACATATATCAATAACAGTCTTTTTTTTAAATCGAGTATCATGTACTATCCATAATTGTAGGTGCTTTACTTTTATACCACTGACCACACAGTGAGTTTGGGCACAAACACATGAGTAATGAAGACGTTACGCTATGAGGTTAGGACGGCTCCTACATCACTACACGATAGGAAATTCTCAGCTCCATTGTGACCTACAGGACAGCAATGGTATGTGTGGTCCCTCATTGACTGAAAGGTTATGCACCGTGTGACTATACTGCATCAGTATCTTTATGCTGGGAACCTGGGGTGGCAGATTCTAGGGCAATGTGAAATGGAGAACCACCATGCTACCATTCAGAGACTGCTCAAAGTTTACAAAAAGTTGTAATATTTTGTTTATATCTCGAATCATGTATTTTTAGAAAATACATTAAAAAAGCACAATTACTTATGTAAAATAAATGATTCAGTAAACTGCAACAGTACATTTTAAATGTAGATGAGTGGATAGTTTCCTCTGTCTCCTAATTAGAGGATACTCTGAAATCTTCCTCACAGACTGCCACACTGAAGAGAAGTTTAATAAAAGAAAAAAACTCAAGTCTACTGAACATCTACTATTTGTCCTTTTGCTACAATCTGAATGTTTGCACCTCCCCAAATTTATATGTTGGAATCCTACATGATGCTGTTAGGAGGTGGGGGCCTTTGAGAAGTGACCAGGTCGTGAGGGTGGATCCCTAGTGAATAGAATTAGTGCCTTTATAAAAGACAACCCAGAGATCCACTTTTTCCTTTCTAGCATGTGAGGACACAAAAAAGTGACATCTATGAACCACGACATGGGTCCTCATCAGACACTGTATCTCTGAGCACATTAAGGTTAAAATTCACAGCCTTCACAATTGTGATAAAGAATTTTCTGTTGTTTAAATCACCTAATTTATGATCTTTTTTGTTATCATAGTTGAATATACCCTCTGTCCTAGATATTTGGACAAACAGCATACAAAATACTTGTAGCATTATAATATATTTATCTACCTATAAAGTCTACTCATTGCCTTGATTGGACAGCAAAAAGTACACACACACACACACACACACACACACACACATGCATACACATGCATGTAAGGGAATGTTCAAAATGCTTATAGAAAAATAGAATTAAAGTATGAATTTATTTTGCTGGAAAAACAATTTCATGCACAGTTTTTTCATAGCATACATTTCTTTGAACCTACTGATATATAAATGAGTGTGTGCATGTGTGTATTATATATATATATACATATATATATTTACACTATGGAAAAGCTAAACAAAAAGTCAATATAACAAATACTCTGTGAAATTTGTGGATTAAAATAATCTTGTTCTTCATAGCTCATTATCTAAAACAAGAATTTTAAGGATATGACCAATAAAATTACCTGTGTTCCAAACCCTGCTGTGCCTCTAAGTAGCTGTGGAACCTTGGGCAAGATTCAGTATCATCTTTTAGGTCTCGGTGTGCAAGACTCTAAATGGAGGTAGGAATAACGTCTATAATCTAGAGTTATTGCAGTAAAAGCATTACACAGTGCATGATCCACATTAAGCAGTCAATAAATGTGAGCTATTATTATTTTCACTATTATTACACACAGGAAAAATTCAAAAAAGGACGCAACAGAGTGGTAGAGTGGAGAGAGCGCTAGAAAGGTAGTGTGATAGTTAATGGTATAAGAAGCTAAATGGTATGTGACAGATGCATGGTGTGGAAATTAAGTATTCTGGGAACAGAAAACAGAAGAAATCACTTTTCACTGCAGTCGGTAGAATATCTTCTCTGAGGAGTCTAAATGAATTTGCAAATATTTTCAGGTGGAGAAAATGTGCATTTGCAGTAGATGTTCTCAAGGATGTACAAATTCAGAAACTTCAGCACTTCTAAGCAGATGGGAAAACCCCACTTGGACTCTCAGACACAGTCTGCTGTGCCAAGATTTGGCAATGTGAGCAGAGGATTAAGGCAGGTGCTATTATACATAGGAAAGAATCTTGGAGAAGGCATTCTAATACTCATTGAAGCACAGCTTGAATAGCAAGCTACTAGACCATTGTAGGTAGAAAATTGCAGTCTGAAGACCATGTTCCTTTAAACAAGCATGCCACTAAGTTCAGGAAGGCAAGAGTCATAGTCACCTGAAGCCACAAATCCTGCTAAGAAGAGAATTAATTGTTCTCTACATCACACCGACTGTTTAGTTCTGCAATCAATAAGAAAGAGTGAGCTCGGACTGGGACTCATTGCTTTTTCCAGGTAAATCTAGAATTGAACAAATAGACTTCCATGTACAATTTCTCCATGGTGTGCAACTCTGGCTAAGTTGATACAGTATTTAACACTATGCAAATGAGTTAATGGCCTTGCAATGAGGATTCCCAATAACAAAATACCATTCTCCTTACAACCTTTTTACTCTGTCTTGGTGTTTGCTAACTGTGAGGAGTTTTAAAAGAATGAGCAAGATTAGCATTCTAGTTTCAATGCTTTAAACACATTGGGGAAGGCTGGAGCAATTTTATAGCTGTATATACATTGGAGAGAGGGCATGACTTTGGAGAGAGGTTTACTATCACTTTAAAAAGTAACAGTCTGAAAGGAATTGTTTAGTCCCTGTCTTTTACTTTATATTCTTAATAGCTACCTCTTATGGAAAGTTTACTAAGAGCCAGGAACTCTACTATCAGTTTTTAAACTTTTATTTAAAAACAAAACACAATTTCAGAAAACCACACATTATTACTATAAGGCAAATACTACACTAGCTAGCTAGCTATCCAGAAGTCTCTCTATATGTTGTAGACTTCCCTTCCTAAAATAATCACTGTCCTAACTTTTACAGTAATCATTTTCTTGCATTTCTTTATGGCTTATCTTTGAAGAGTGTATCCTAAGGCACTCTAGTTGAGTCATACGGTTGCAAATGATATGTCTTTTACCTTCAGTTTAATAAATATGTCATCTTTCTCATCCCTACAGATTCCTTCTTGAAAACAAATCTGTTGACAAACTTGGGCCACTGTCTTGAGTTTGCCCCAGGGTAGGTTGGGTAGGTTGGATGATTAGATCCTCATGGTGCCAATTTATGCTCTTCTCTTCTTTGCATTTCCTGTGAATGGGCAACATGACATTCAATCAGATTCAGCTTTGATATCTTTGGCAACACTACAGGTAGTGCTGTGCTGTTTTTTAATGGGGAGGCACATTGATATTTAACACATAGATCTATTGTCTTATTGGAGATTCCAAAATGGTAATATTATCTTTCTATACATTATTTTTATATATTAGCTTAAGTAATTTTTTTGTGTAAGGAGATGTTTCACCTTGTCTACAGTCTGGTTATCCAGTGGTCTATTTCCAAAAAATCCAAACTGAGGTGTGATTCTTTCACTTTACCTGTTTTTGTGATAATTAGCTGATTCTTCACCATCCTCAGAACAGGACTAATTAGGATTTAGATATATTGGATAGATTCCTTGACTATTGTCAGTTTTATCCTTACCAAAGACAATTTTTTCCTTCTCTGATTAGGTGGAGCTTTCTTAAATTTGGCTTTTGATTTCCATCAAGTTTGTTCTCTTTAACTGCCTCCATGTTAGTTCATATAAAAATACTCCAGGTCTGCCTGCTATATTTCTTCTCTTAAATCTGAATTCAGCCAGTCCTCTGAGAATCCCTAGTTTCTTTTAACAGGGGACAAATGATAGTCATTGCTTGTAGGTTTATTACAAGTGAAAATGAGTATGGCCCTCTTAGGATATACTTATACTAAGAAATTATTTGTTGGATATCTGAAATTCAAATTTAATGGGTCACTATATTTTAATTGACAACTATTATAATTTCTACTAGATTGGTCATTTATTTCTAGATTGTGTTAGTCTAGACCCTCTGAGAAGCAGGTGCAAGCAGACGGGCAATAGAGTTGTTGGAGGAAATGTGGGGACAACAGGTGGCAAGGTGGTTAAGGGTGCTAGACTCCCACATGGCCGACCATTGGTTCAAGTCCAGGATCTGGCGGCTTGCTTTCTCACTTTCTCTTTCTCTCTCTCTGTCCCTCTCTAGTCAAATTTTGATTAATTCATTCATTTTAAAATGAATGATTGTAGGAAATGCTTATGAGGGAACAGGAGAGAATGAAAGAATCAGGAAGAGCCCTTAAGCTACAAAGCAGGCTTGACCACCATGAAGGGCAGAGGGAAGAAAGAATAGTTAAATAGGAAAGGTGTCAAACTATGTATGTTCAATTGTGAGAAGTATTTGGGAAGTCCTCAAGCCAAAGTTGCCAATAACAGAGTCTCACAGATCCTATGAAGATGATTGCTTTAGTAACCCTCCTGCATGTACTCAGTCACTTGCTGAGAACAGACAATAGGAAGCAGTCTCTCACTGCAATTGTACATTTAGAATGAGTTAACAATGATACCTCCAAATCAAAATTTCTAATTCAATTTCAGACCTTTATTGTTTTTTCATAAACCTCTTCTATTTGATAGATATCTTCTTTTTTCCTATACTGAATATCATGATTCTTAAAAACCTTAGAGATTTGAAAACTAGGACATCCCATTATTACTCATTTACTTTTCCAATATTTGGTACCCAGCAGTCTCAGTGTGACTAAAATAATAGGAGGGAGTTTTCAGAAAGTTGGTTAAAAAATAGATACTATGAAAAAAATGCATGAATTTAAAATTTTTACACTAAAATAAACTCACATTTCAATTCCATTTTTGCTACCAGCCTTGTAGAGTAGCCTTACATGACCACCACCCATTATAAATATTAAAAATAAGAGGGTTTTGGCCTAGTATATCTTCCTTCTTTGTATGTTGTTGTTGTTATACTTAATCTATTTTGTTATATAATAGAGCTATTGTGTACTTTACTATTGGACATTCATTTTTTTCTAATTCTATAGTACCCAAATATTTCATCTTCCCCATAATCCTTGTGTTCATGTCTCTAGCCCTGTGCTGTGGCACAATAGCTACTAGCTACGAAGGCTACTGAGCAACTGAAATGTGGCTAAATTGATACATGTTGTAAGATTTAAATAAACACTGGATCCTGAAAACGTATTTAAAATGTACAGTATCTAGTAATTTTAAAATGAGAACATCTTCCTTACATCAGATAACAAACCATTTAAATTATTCTTACTTTTTATTTTCTTTAGGTGGCTATTAGAAAATGTTAAATTACATATACGACTTTTCTTTCTTTTTTTCACTATAATCTTCCAGTCTTCTAGGTTTTCCAAATTTAACTCCTAGTAGATTTCTCAAGAAGAGCTATTTTTAAATTGTCAAAGGCTGTGTACAGTCATCAGAGAAAGGGAGAACCCATGCCCCCACCCCAACTGGGATGCTCACACTGCATCCTTCCCTATTTCTTCATTCTGTCAGGATTTTGAGCATGAACACATATGTGCTGAGTCTATTTTAAGTCTCCAGCGTTGGAATTTGAACCATGTCAGCCATGTGGGATCTGGCACCCTTAGCTAGTAGGCCATGAGATCGGCCCAGGAAGGGCTAATCTTTACTCTTAAAGTTTACTTTTACTATATATAAAATTCCTAGCCTATAATTCTTTTCTTAAATATTTTAAATGTTACTTTACTTTTTTTTCTTCTCCAGGATAAAATGTTGCTGTAGAAAAGCTAATGATAATCTAATATTAGTTTTGTTTATTTGTTTGTTTGTTTAGGTCAAGGGTTTCTTTTTGCCTACATGTCCAAAGAATTGTGTTTTTGAAGATCTCTTAATTGGACTGTGTTAATATTATTAGGCAAACTATGTGATTTTTTAAAATAAAGTTTAAGTTTCTGTTTCTATTTTAGAATCAATGATAGTTTTTAGTATTTGTTTTCTTTTCCTTTTTAAAATTATTTTGATTTATTTTATTCATTTAATCACTGTACATCACTACAGCTTGTAAAGTGAATTTACCCAACATGAATACACGTCACACCAGTCCAGTTGACTATACTATACACGTTATCAGTCATCCATTTCTGTGTCCTATATGTGTCTTGCCTTTCTATTTCCTCCTTGATTCCTTTCCTCACACTTTCCCCCCTTCTCTCATCTTCTTATCATGCTGTCTCCAGAGTTTCTTTCACTCTTGATTTGTCCTCCCATTCAGCCACTCCAGTAACTTGTAGATTTAATCTTTTTTGCCATCTATGGTCTCTTTGAAAATTCTTAACATTGTCATTATAACATAAAAGTAGTCATAAGTAATATGTAAACAAATGAGTGTCCAATATAACTGTTAAAAAAAAAAAGTAGATTGGACTTGGCCCTTGGGCTATAGTTTATCAATTTTTGGTCTTTAGAAATATTATTCTTTCTTTTTTTTTTTCTTGTGGTCATTTTGTATTTGAGATTAAATTTTACATAGTACTAGACCTTTATAATTTTCTATTGCTCATGTTTATGTCAATTTTATTTTCTAGAACTTTTAGATAGTAAAAAGTTTAGATAGGCTTTTCAGTCTCAGAGAAATCCTTTTCCTGTTATTATGTTATGGGAAAAAAAAAACTTTTTTTTCTTAGATTTTTCTAGATCTCTTCATTTTTTATCTGGATTTTCTGTTTTAGTAATTTCTATTATCTCTGCTGTGTTTAATTTTGACTCTACTTCCAGTAGTTTTTCCTCCATATGAGATCATGTGAGGTCAGCTTCAATATATCAAAGGATCTAAACTATCCCAGCCACCTTGACATAGATCTGTTAAAAACTGGAACCAGCAGATGGGTAATTGTTCCCTCGCTTGACTCCCACGTTGTTAACCTTGGTTCAAGTCCTAAACCTGGCAGCTTAAAATTCTTGCTGGGCACATGTGCATGCACGTCCAAAATCTGAGAGTAGAATGGAGGAGAAGGGATTGTGGTGTGCTATCCTCCTGGGGAGTTATTTCTCACTTTCTGTCTCTCTGTCTCTCTCTGTGTCTCTAGCGGGTGCACATGTCCTATAGCAAAAAATCTCTTTCTCAAAAAAGCAAAAACAAATAAATGAACAAAAACTGACATTCTGGGACCAGTAGATGGTGTAGTGGTTATATTGCTGAACTCCCACATGGCTAATTGAGATTCTAGTCCTGAACCAGTGTCTTCAAAATCATGCCAGGTGCATGTGTATGTGTGCCTAAGAGTCTGGGAGGAGAATGGAATAGAAGGGATTGTGGTGTGGCCATCCCTCCTGGGGAGAGATTTCTCATTTTCCCTCTCACTGTGTGTGTGTGTGTGTGTGTGTGTGTGTGTGTGTGTGTGTGTGTGTGTCTCCAGCAAGCACATGTGCTGTAAGGCAAAGAAAAAAGACCTTTAAAAAAAAAAGCTATGAGACACTGCTTACAAGCAAAAATGTTAACCTCCTGATTTTATCAATGTTGGCAACAGACATTATCCCCCTGGACTAGAGACAAAGCTTTCTTACTTATGGTCTATTAAGTATTATGAAAATGAGAATATTTATGTACATTCTCCTTGTCCCCAAGTCCCATGAGGAGAACGGTTCTACCCAGATAGAAGCCTGCTCACACAGTAGGTTGTATTTAGAAGAGGAACTCTGACCTTGAAAACCCAAATCTTTTATAACGGGAAGTAAACATTTCTGCCCTTTTTCCAGAGGGTGACACGAATTTTTTTAAAAATTAGTTTATTAAGAATGCTTTGTTCTTTCCTTCTTCCCAACCTAATGGCTATACAAATGTTTTTTAAAAGATACTCTGGAACAAAGAGCCTTTTCTTGCTAGTAAGAAACGCAAGAATATAAGAGGCCAGTGGAAAATTGACCCCGGCAGGGACTCTTTCGCTCCTGGAATTCGTGAAACCTCTCCTAGTTTCATGAGATTTTTAAAAATTGCTCCACTGTGCTTTCTAGTGTGTACCATGGACTATTTGGGGAAATCTCTTTTTTGAATATTTTGCAATTGTCAGGTCTGTCATCTGCTCCACTACTTTCATCTGCTTTCTTCTATATAGACACCAAGGGTACCCTGGCTGTGTGGCTTTCAGTGTTTAGAGATTTATAGGGTGTCTCACTATCTAGAAATGTTGTAAATGCTGTACTTTTGGTGTTGATGATTAAAATTCTTTATTTA